CTGGTGCTCTACCATTTTTGAGTCACAGCTACGTTTCTGGTTTTTTGGTGGTTAACTATAGATAAGAGTCTCAATGAACTTTTCCACTCAGATTTCAGATTTTAGACCCTGAGATTCCAGCCTAAGTAGCTGGGATTACAGGCATGAGCCACCAGTGTCCAGCAGTGTGAAATTTTATTTAAAAATATGGTTCAGTCCCTTTAAAGCAAGGTCTCTGCAGCTAAACAAGGGGAAATTCCAGGTTCCTTGAGGAGTAGAGGTGATCAAAGCATCTGTTTTCACAGTGCTGCCACAGCCCCATGCCCAGTAGAGACAAGAACTACTCTGTGTCAACATTTCCGTGCACTGCAAGCTCTGACTAGGATGAATGTAGGCTTAGTCTACCTACTTGTATCATGTATCTATGTATGCAAGGCATGCTGGGCATATTTGAGAGCTGTCTTTGAAGGAAGACCCCATTAAGAGCAATTATAAGTCTAGAACAGCCTAACCAAAATAATGCAATTTCAACTCTTCACTGTATCAGCAAGTAAATGATGAAATCCCCCCCCCGCCCCCCGCCCCTCCTCGTTGTGGGGCTTGAACTCTGGGCCTGGGCGCTGTCTCTCAGCTCTTCAGCTCAAGTCTAGTACTCTACCACTTGAGCCACAGTGCCACTTCTGGGTTTCTGAGTGGTTTATTGGAGATAAGAGTCACACGGGCTTTCTTGCCAGGGCTCAGGTCTCAGCTTCCTGAGTAGCTAGGATTACAGGCATGAGCCATTGGCTCCTGGAATGGAATCATTTTCTTTTCTCTTTGATTGTCAGGGCCGAATAGGTATTTGGCTTTGTTTGTTTGTTTGCCCTGAAGCTATGATTTTCTGTTCTTAATTTGTTCACCTTTATTCCCTTTGTACCTCCTTCCTAAAAGTGCTGATTTATTCTTTATTTTGGAAATAGTTGGATTGGCAGGAGAAACTGGGGGAAAGCGAATAAGGGGTAACATTGTCCAAAAAAAGAAATATACTCATCATTTGACACGAAATAGTAACCCCTCTGTAAAGTACCTTAATAACAACAAAAAATTATATTAAAAAAATAGGTGCATTGGATTTTTATGCAGGTAGGATGTGTTAAAACTGTGGAGCTCCAGGTCTGTGTTCTGACTTGCTGCACAAAATTCTTTTAACAGCATGGTTGAAAAACAGGTGTGTCCTGCATCCATCCTGATCCCCTTCCCCTCTAATAGCTGGAGGAGGCCTGTGCCTGCTTAGTTCCCCACCTGCCATTCCCCACAGCTGGCCTCTCTTTTCTCCCCTGTGCCCACATCTGCTGTTTACAGTGCAGCAGCAGTGCAGGTAGTTATTAGAGAACCATGTTTGTTCCATCTGCACCTGAAATAGAGATAGGCTGAAGGGGCAGATTATGAAATCTCTTTGTTAACACAAGAACAAAGGCCAGATTTCTCTATTTTTCAATGATGACTTCCAAAAACAAACTCTGTGGAAAGGCTGCCAGGACAGGGGATAGAGAATTCCATTGCATCTCCTCTACAGAGATGCAATCACCAAGGGGATGCTTAAATCTACTCCTCCTGATGAAGACATTAGACTGTAGCAAGCTATAACTATAGCTGTAAGAAGCTGTAACACATCACCTTCTCTAGGCTCAGTGGGGCATTGGTCTGTCTGATTGCAAACAGATTTCAACATCTCTTTACTCCTCCTTCATGCCACAGTGAACCACATTCTCCTTCCTTTGGAGTAAACACTGTAGCCACATCAGCTGCATTCAAGTTTGTTAACAAGCTCTCAGGGGACACCATTACCTTGCTGACTTTAGAAACAAGCCCTGGTCCTCACAGCAAGGGGAGCTAGAATGTGTCTCAGAGTTTCCACGATATACAGGTTCCCAGGATACTCACACTTCACTGGAATATCCAAGATGTCTACTGTAGGAGGGATCACATTTTGCTGGCCTTTACTGATGGCTTGTTAGGCCTAAAGTCACAGTGAAGGATTACTAGACTGAAAGGATGAGGCTTTCCATATGATCGTGGCTTTATATGGGTATGCTCTCTTAAAGGAAGGTGTGGGACTGAGCCACTGTCTAAGGAAATTTTTGAAGAGTTTCAATCTCAGGTTACTCAAAGACTCACTTGGTAATCTGAGGGGACAAATGCGGTGTGTGTGTGTGTGTGTGTGTGTACACGCATGCATACATGCACACAAGTATATTAATCTGAGGGGACAAATGCGGTGTGTGTGTGTTCGCATGCATACATGCACACAAGTATATTAATCTGAGGGGACAAATGCGGTGTGTGTGTGTGTGTGTGTGTGTGTGTGTACGCATGCATACATGCACACAAGTATATTTTTCAATATTCTATTCTCTCTCTCTCTCTCTTTCTTTCTGTTGTGGGGCCTGAACTCTGGGCCTGGGCGCTGTCCCTCAGCTCTTCAGCTCAAGGCTAGCACCCTACCACTTGAGCCACAGTGCCACTTCCGGCTTTTTTATGCTTATGTGGTACTGAGGAATCAAACCCAGGGCCTCATGCATGCAAGGCAAGCATTCTACCACTGATCCACCTTCCCAGCCCCAGTCTTCTATTTCTTATCAAACAACAAGTCCTGTCTATTTCCTCCTCAAATTAGCCACTATCTCCATTTTTATTTAGTTTCCAAGCTTTTTAACAAGGTATACATAGACTGCCTCTTCCTGATTTTATAATCACTTCTCACTATTTTTGGTTCTATAGACAAATCTTGAAGTATAATTTTTTTAATATGAGACTGAATGTAGGATCTCACACATTGTAGACAAGTCCTCTGCCATATAGCTGCAACCTCAACTCCTTGAAATATGATGTAAGCGGCAATAGATACAATTCCTTAAGTAGTGAGAATGAACTGGTAACCCTGAGAAGGGTTTTATTTTTGGTCAGTTGTGGGGCTTGAACTCAGGGCCTGGGTTCTGTTCCTGAGCATTTTTTGCTCAAGGCTAGTACTCTACCATTTTAAGCCACAACTCCATTTCTGGTTTTCTGGAGGTTAATTGGAGATAAGAGTCTTACAGACTTTCTTGCCTAGGCTGGCTCTGAACCGCCATCCTGAGATCTCAGCCTTTTGAGTGGCTAGGATTACAGGCATGAGCCACCGGCGTCTGGTTTGAGAAGGGTTTTACAAAGACCACTTCACTGAGTGTGCACGATGAGTAATATTTTTCTAATAATGAGGAAGAAAACTAATCCTCAAGGGCAACTAATAGTAAGTGCTGGTGCTGGATTCAAACCAGAATCTGTAACCCTAGAAACCCCTTCTCAACTAGCGCTCAGTAGAGTCTCATATGAGATACTATTTGCACAGACAACCACCAAGCTTCTCCATCTATGCCCCATTGATCTAAATTTCAGCTGGTTTTTATACTTTGGGGGAGGTGATGCCCTCCTTTGAATTTTAAAATGTTCATAGTCTGTATTAAACAATTCCATAGTAATGTCTATGGGACCAGCGTTCTAAGGTAACCATTGCTGAGAAAAACCATGAACAACTGGGATGCAGAGTATTCAGCATTTTACTTCAGATGCTTGGTCCATTTTCCCATAATGCTATCTAACTTCCGCTGAAGACATGCTACCTTTCAACAAGTCTCAAATGTTCGTCTTAGCATTTCAATTAAGCACATTGCACATCCTTTTTAGCTGGGAGGATTACCATAACTTTTACTTTACTTACTTTTTTGGGCACCATCTGCTTTTTCAGAAGCATTATTACATAAGAATTAAGGGCAGGAGAACAAATAGTGGATCACATAATGATTAAGCTACAACTGCTGCTAACATGAGAACTTCTCTGTAACAATTCATTGCATAATTTAGGTTTGAGAATTATAAAGTTTTGAGTCTGAACTTTCTTTTGATGATTATGGCACTTGATCATAACCATGTGCGATAAATTCACTAAGGTACGAGTTTATTGTACATTCTAATATCATTTGCTAGGTATTTTACTGACCCTAGTCTCTCTAATGAGAGCATGGTTTCTTTGGGAACTGAAACTATGTGCTGGAATGCTCTCTCTCTCCCCCTCCCTCTCTCTTCTCTCTCTCTCCCTCTCTCTCTCCTTCCCTTTCTCTCTCTCTCTGTCGGTTGTAGGGCTTGAACTCTAGGCCTGGACGCTGTCCCTCAGCTCTTCAGCTCAAGGCTAGCGCTCTACCCTTGAACCATAGCACCACTTCCAGTTTTCTGGTGGTTTTATTGGAGACAAGAGTCTCACGGACTTTCTTGCCCAGCCCAGGCTGGCTTTGTACCTGATCCTCAGATCTCAGCCTCCTGAGTAGCTAGGATTACAGGCATGAGCCATCAGCACCCAGCTGGAATGCTCTTCTCTATTTACAATTTTACCAAGTTCACTCACTATGGGAGACTAATAGCTGCTGCATCTGACAGCAATCTTTATTACACACCCAACACTGACCCAAGGATCTCACCTATAGTAATTTAGTTCTTATAATGCCCCACAAGGCAGTTATAGTTATTTCCCTGCATACATAAGAGGAAAGCCTGGGCACTGACAGTTTAAAATAGCAAGGTCAACCAGTTAGCAAATGACAGAGCTGTTTCAAACACAGGTAGTCTGGCTTCAAAGCCCACACTCTTAACAGTTAATTAACATGCCTGGGTCTGTTGAAAATAAAATTGTGTTACGAATAAAGAGGAATGATACAAAGATGATGTTTCCTAACTGTAAGCCACAGAAAGAACCAAGCAGGAAACTGACAATTGAGTTTTACAAACAATTTCTTACTGGACTACCCATTCAAGAGCACCCTTCAAACACACAATCCTGGGTTTGATTCCAATAACTACAAAAGCAAATTTAAAAACACTTAAAAAAAATAAAACCAACCTACAATATCCTACAGGCTGACGGCATTAGTTCCAACTGTTGACTAAGGAAAAGCATTTCTGTCTAGGGACAGATCTGTAGTGCTCACTGATTTCCCCACCCTTGCCTCCACCTGTTGAGTGCCATGGTGACAGTAGCTCCCTGTTGCATCTCCTGAGAAGCTGCCACTGCGGCCTCTGCCAATGATGCTACAGCCTGGGTGGCCTCTGATGCTTGCGTTGTCTGGATAGTCATCTCACCTCCTTGTAATGTGGCCCAATTTTGTTCTACCTGAGACAGAAAGGACAAGCCAGTTAAAATAAAAACATAAACAGGTTTTTATTTTTATATTTTTGGTCAGTCATGAGGCTTGAACTCAGGGACTGGGTACTGTTAGTACTCTATCACTTGAGCCATAGCTCTACTTCTGGTCTTTTCTGTTTATGTGGTTTTGAGGAACTGAACTCATGCATGCAAGGCAAACACTCTACCACTAAGCCACATTCCCAGCCCCTGGTTTTGATTTTTAGAAGCATTTTAATAACAAACTTTTAAATCAATGTGACCTACAATGCAGCAATATAGTTTTCAATATGGTATTCTTTGTATAAAAAGTGGGGGAATTAGAATATATATATGTGTGTGTGTGTGCACATATATATGTATATATATATATAAATATATATATGAATTTATTTTCATTTGCATAAGGAAATTCAGGAAGGACACATAAAAGAAACTATTGAAAATAATTTTTGGACCAAGTGAGGTGGTACACACTTGTAATTTTAGCATTCAGGAGGCTTAAACAGAAGGGTCGAGGCCAGGGCTATCTGAGCCTACATAGCAAGACTCTATTCCAAAAAACCAAACCAAACAAAAACAAAAACATAAAATACTTTGGAAGACAGCAAGCAAGACTTTCCACTGTATAGTATACTTCTATTCACTCACCCTCCCTCCTTCCCTTCTTCCTTCCCTCCCTCCTTTCCTTCCTTCCTTCCTTTCAGATGGGGTCTTGCTATGTGGCCTCAAATTCTCAACTTTGAGCCTCTCAAGTGTTGCCACCTTATCTGGCTGCGGTGCACTTTAAGGAAGTTAAATGATAGGGATGAAATTAATGGGGATAAGAGTAAATGGCAGAGGAGAAACAGGAGAAATGGAGGAAGTTTGTTTGTTTTTTCATGCCAGTCCTGGGGTTTGAAGTCAGGTCCTAAGTACTGTCCCTAAGCTTCTTTTTCTCAAGGCTAGTGCTCTACCACTTTAGCCACAGCTATACTTTGTGGCTTTTCTGGTAGTTTATTGGAGATAAGGGTCTCATGGCCTGTCTTTGAACCGTGATCCTTAGATCTCAGCTAGGATTACAGATGTGAGCCACCAGTACTTGACTGAGGGAGAGATTTTTAAATCAGAAGTATGCCAGGTGATAAATCCACTTTTGCATTATCACCTCTAAATTTCTCTCCTGGAATCTGTGCTTTGGGTGTGTTTGTTTGAACTCCTGTTGCTCTCTTTTCCTATTTGTTAGAAGTCAGTGTACTTGGATGTCATCATGTCCCAAAGAAAGTGTCAAGCCCCAAGAAGTGAAGCTATTCAGATGTTATCCCATTGGCTTCTAGGCATGTTTGTTAGAGAGACCCACTATACCTAGGGGCCCTTCAAACCTTGGTGCCAAATACCTCTAGCTAGAGGTGACCATCCCCCATTTTCACACCTCAATGCATGGAGTGTACTGCTATCTTAGGTAGGAACCTTAACTCCCATGCCCCATCCTTTGCTCCTGTTGAGCCCAGGTGCTATTCCTTTAGCTGTGCCTTAGGTGTTTTTGCTCAAGGCTATCACTCTAACACTTGAGCCACAGATTCACTTCTGGCTCTTTCCAGGTAAACTGGAGATAAGAATCTCAGGGACTTTCCTGCCCATACTGGCTTCAAAGTGCAATCTTCAGATCTCAGCCTCCTGAGTAGCTAAGCTTACAGGTACCAGCTGCGGGCACCCAGCAGAACATACTCTTTAGTTACATTTTCTTACTTGCTTTTGAGCCTATCCATACTTCAGCTAAATTGATATTCATTAAAATCCATTAAAATGTGTCATATAATTTGCAAAACCATTATATGTGTTGATGATTCTATTTTATATTCATGTCTTTAATGTCTGTATAGTGGTAGTGGTTTTTTGGTTCTTCCAGTGTTATTAGATACCACTTTCCTCTGATTATTCTGACACCTAACGCAGTAAACATAACCAGTCCTAGCATACAGCAAAATTAATTCTCAGGCCATTTGTAGTTTTAAATTTCCCATCAAAATAAAGTTGCATATTTTTAATATAGTTTACTCCATTTTTGAAATTCTTTCCTTATTCAATTCTAAATGTCTATAAATTTGTACTTACTCTTAGCTAACTTTAAACTGCTTAAGAGAATTTTTATTTCTTTTAACTACTCAGATTGTTGCACACCAGACCCCAAAAAGGTCTTTCTCATAAAAGTATTAAGGGATAACCACACCTTATTGAAAAATGCTATACTGGAAATGTAAAATTCTAAGTTCCTAACTGCTGAGTTTGGGTTGTAGTACTCTATCAGTTCTAATTGTTATGATTAACATATGCAGCCTAAGATACTTTCTTAAACTGTCATAGTATGATACAAAAGGGCCCCAGTAACATAATGTTAAAGATGTGGAAGCTACTTCATCTTCTGGATCCTTACCTCCACCTCATCTGTCCACTCAGATACTTAAGTAGTTGCAGACAGAATCTTTTCTTACCTCTCCATCAGCCACAGCAGAATAATTCACTTGGGCAACAGTGACTGTGGTTGGCAGTTCTGAAGCATCAGCCAATGTGGCTACTGTTGCCCCTGTACCAACCTACCAAAACACAAGAAGTGGTAAGTTAGCAGTAGACAGGCCCTCTGTCTCCTCTTGACTTACAAGCAAGAGCTCATCACAAGTTCAGTATAAGGATTCATATGCTTTGTGATGTGAAATGTGTTGTAAAACTTGTCAGAGCTGGGCACCAGAAGCTCACACCTGTAATACTAGCTACTCAGGAGGCTGAGATCTGAAGATTGTAGTTTTGAAGCCAGCCCAGGCAGAAAAGTCACCCTGAGACTCTTATCTCCAATAAACTACTCAAAAAAGCCAGAAGTTGTGCTGTGGCTCAAGTGGTAGAGAGCTAGCCTTGAGCACAAACAGGCTCAAGGACAGCACCCAGGTCTGGCAAACAAACAAAATAACAATCAAAAAACTTATCAGAGTTAGTATGAATTTTATTTTATTCTAGAATGTTATTTTAACCATATAAAACAATATTAGAAGAGCTATTGTGTTTTATTATGTGTCCAGTGTCAACCAGTTTCCAACTCTTTGTTTATTTTTATATTTTAGTGTAAAGATGATATACAGAGGTTACAGCTATATAAGTCAGGTAATGAGCTGAGAGTTTGAGGCCACATACTGAGAGACTTCATCTTGAAGGGAGGGAGAGAGGAAGGGTGAGTAGAAGCATACAGTAGAAAATCTTGCTTGCTGTCTTTCAAAGAAATGTATTCGTTATCCAACTCTTATCCTAACTTGAACTTCAGAAGTTCCCTTTATATCAATAAACTGTGCTTTACCTCAGAAGAGGTAATTTAGAAGGAATATTTCCTGGCCACTAATAATGAAAAATGAAGCAATTTTCAGGTGCTTTATTTGGAAATGTCCAGGAAGGCACATATAGCTCTGAATTAAGAAAAAAAAAAAAGTAATTGAATACTGTTCAAAGGCCAGGGATGCGGTTGAGTAGCAGAACACTTGCCTAGATGCAGGAAGCTCTAAGGTTTGATCATTAAACAAACAAACAAACAAACAAAACATTGAGCCATAAAATATAGTTCAAAAGTAAACTTTAGTGGGAGAACCAGGGGAGCTTATGAAGTTCAGACAAGAATTGGCACAATAATGCCTATTCTAGTTTGAAATGAGATGCTCACTCACCCATCTCCCTGTAACTGTCAAGCTTACTCACCTGGATAAGCGAGACAGTGCCGTCTGGGTTGCTGAAGGTCTGCACCACAGTTTGTGATGGTACAAGATGGGCTATACTGTGCGTGGTGGTGGCCTGTGTTTGTGTTTGCTGATCTTCAAAAGCATACAAAAGATCCTCCCGCCCATGTTGTCTGTAACAGTTTTTAACTATGGTCCGTAGTGCCTGGGTCCATGAAACCTGTGACCAAAAGATCAGAAGAGCATGTTAAGCTACAAGAAACATTGATATTTAGTCTCACTATGGAATAGTCAGCTGTTTACTGATCAGACCTCATACAGAGTAATGCCCGTAGGATTATTTCCCACAAAGTGATTCTGAAACAAAGGTTTCCCCTGGTTTCCTTTCTGATCTAAACTGGGTTCAGCATTTAGGTTTTGGATGCTATTCTATTCTGAAGAACTCAGATCACTCTTCTCAAAAAAATTATTATTTATTGTAACCCCTTTGTACAACTACATAATAATAATAATGATGATGATGATTACTATGGCTAGCAACATTATATTAAGATTTATCACTAAACTTCCAAGTGGAATAAAAAAATCAAACATGTAGAAAAAGGGACATTATCTAGTTTAATCCTGCTTCTCCAAGTTTTGTTACCAGCAGATGCACTTGGTAGATTTTTCATCTCTTTCTAATTCCATATGTATATTTTTCAATACTTTTTTTTTCATTCTTTCTTTCTTTTTTTTTGGTTGTGGGGCCTGAACTCTGGGCACTGTCCCTCAGCTCTTCAGCTCAAGACTAGCACTCTACCACTTGAGCCACAGCGCCACTTCCAGCCCTTTCTGCTTATGTGGTGCTGAGGAATAGAACCCAGGGTCTCATGTATGTAAAGCAAGCTCTCTACCACTGAGCCACCTTCCCATTCCCCAAAATGACTTCTAAGTCTTCAGTTGATTAATATTTTCATTTCAAGTCTCTCTAGTTTCTCCAAGCATCTCAAAAAATTAACGGTGCTTTAAAAGGCAATTATAAAGAATAAGTGCAAAAGCAAGACTTATTTGGAGGAATGCAATTGATTACATATTTTTAAACATTTAAGCACCAAGAAAAGATGAAAACTGAAGTAACGATATATAATAAAAAAGCAATGGGCAACTCAGGCCAAGAAAATCCTCACCCTCTGCTTCTGCTCTTCTGTGCGGACATCACTCCGGACATTCGCCCATGGAATGTCTTCGGGCCACCAAATGGGCTTGCAGCTTTCTTTTCCCCAGCCTGGTTTTCCCCGACCTGTGGAGTACTTGAGCATCTCTGGGATAAATGCCCGAAGCTGGGCCTGGAAGGGAAGCATGGTAATCAGTACTCATGAAAGATACCTAAAAATGTGTATGTCTTCTCCCAAACACTAAGATTATAAGATAGAGAGCTTTCCTGAAGGGTCCTAGAAAATCCCAAATGTGATTGCTGTGAACCATTATTTTCTACAGGTTAACAAAGCTGGCCTGGGTACTTGAAGTAAACACGTAAGAGCATCTAAAGCTGCATTTTGTGAACTTTTTTCCTTTATAAAATACATGAAAATACACTTTCCTCTTACAAAAGCAGGAAAATGACTCTAAAATTCTTCTAGAAAGTTCCTAGAAAGCCATTCTGCTGTTGGTGAGCCTCATATATACACTACAGTAAAATTTGTATTAATTATTTTAGAGACAGTCTTGATTTATAACCTAGACTGACATGGAACTTGCTATGTAGTCCAGGGACTTGAGATCCTCCTGCTTCAGCCTCCTGGAATTACAGGTGTGTACCACCATACCCAACTCCTATGTGATTCTAAATACAGTACATTCAGATTTATTTTACAAGTCAAAATCATTAACAAGCAGGTTTTAAATCAGAGTCCATTGTCATACTTCTTTATTTCCTGGCATGGTAACCACAGTCTGTATATGCTGAGGAAAAAAATTTACTTTATGAATAGTCTTCATCATTTATGATTTAAGGCAAGTAAAGCAGCTCACCAAGTTATAATCTTTGAACGCTTTCTAGACCTCCTGCTCTCCTTTTAACCTGGTTGTCTACAACACAGCCAAGGATCTACAACACTACTGAAGTGAGCAGTATTCTGCATCCACTAAAGACACATCTGCATTGACTCTGTGGTATAAGAGAGAAGAGTGGCTCTAGTGGTAGCATCTACCTAGCAAGTATAAAGCCCTAAGTTTAAACCCCAGTATTGTCAAAAAAAAAAAAGAGGACAGGCATTTTGAGCAAGGACTAAGGCTCAAGGACTTGTTTATGAGAAGGTGGGAGGGAGGGGGGGTGAGATAGAAGAAGAGGGCACTTGTATAAGCAGAGGAAAAAGATACAAATATGAGAGAGAATGATTATAGTAACACTTTACTGTAGAGCTTATCTGTCAGGTAGCCTTATAATAAATACACATTTTTTTCTTTTTTCTTTTTTTTTGGGGGGGGGTTGTTGGTCATGGGGCCTGAACTCTGGGCCTGGGTGCTGTCCCTCAGCTCTTCAGCTTAAAGCAAGTGCTCTACCACTTGAGCCATAGTGCCACTTCTGGTCTTCTGGTGGTTAACTGGTTAATTCTGGTGGTCTCAGACTTTCCTGCCTGGCTGGCTTCGAACAGTGATCCTCAGATCTCAGCCTCCTGAGTAGCTAGGATTACAGGCGTGAGCTACCGGCATCGGCAAAAATAAATATTTTTATCTTACCAGAAGGTAATACAAATGATTACATAACAGGAAATTATGAATTCAGATCAGCAATGCCAACCTTATAAAGATGGTCTAGTTCACAGATTTTATACTGTTAATTCCGGTGCTCCTCCTGCCACTTCACTTCTCTTCTTAAGGGCCTCCACTCCCAGACAGTCTCCTGACCTGACTACAGGATATGATACAGCACACTTTGTATATATTTGGCTCTGTGGCATCAAGGAGCAGACTGAATAGAAATGTATCCATTTGCAAAGCCATGCTATCAGCTGGCTCATGAGGTCATTCCTTTAGTTATTTTAAGAAAGTGCATCTCAAAGTCACTTTCCCTGGCGTCTTAAGAATATATGTCTTTTGTAGTAGTTTTACATATGCAGAACAGAAAAGGGCTTAATTCTCACACACATTTTCTATCTCTTCATATTAAAAAAATAGCTTTCTCAAGTGAACAAATTGATACTATAGACTTTTTCAAGTTCCTTTTATTTTAATGCAACTCATCATCTCTAGAAAGGATAGAACTTTGCATCTATCCTTAAGGAGTCTGGAGAAAGTAAGTAGAGAGGTTGTCTCTAAATTAATAAATTTATATTAAAAATATATGTATATATAAAACATACACAACTATATAAATGACATAAATTATATTAAAGTATAAATATAAACATAGGTCTCCTATCTATCTCTTATCCTACATATCCTTGCTAGACAGGTTTTCCTTACTGCTACATAGATTGAATGTCAAAAATCTAAAAAGCCAAATGGCCTTTAACCACTAAACTATATACTTCTACCCAGCTATACAATGTGGCCTCATGCTACACTTAGTTCCCACACTCATTGCCCACAGCAGCCCTAATCCTGTAGGCAAGTCTCTGTATAGTCCCATGAATTCTTTGTTCTACTCTGAGCTCTACCACTTTGAACCACGGCGCTACTTCCAGTTTTCTGGTGGTTTATTGGAGCTAAGCCTCACAGACTTTCCTGCTCAGGCTGGCTTTGAACTGAGATCCTTAGCTTCCAGAGTAGCTAGGATTACAAGTGAGAGCCATCTTTTGATTTGTTCCTTTCCTAAACTATTCCCTCCATTCTACTTTTCCAATGTCACCATTTGTTTTTTTTTTAATATTCATTCATCTTTTCTTGGAGATGGGGTCTCACTATGGAGCCTTGGCTGGCCTTTTTATGTGTGAGCCTTCTGCCCTAGCCTCCCTAGTGCTGAGAACACAGGCATAAACCAGCTTACCACCACTCATTCTTTCATACCCCGTAAGTCCTATATTCCTTTAAATATATTCTAGTTTTCTTCAGTCAGTTCTGTCAACACAAACAGAACTGGCTGTCAAGCTAACTATCTAAATCTTAATTTTCTTCACTGCAAAACATTAATGCTAATAGCAAATATCCAGGGTTAATTTAAGAAGATTAATGATGGCAGATATATGTGTGTGTGTCTGTAGGTGTGCAGTTGCGCTGAATTAATGGCAGTTTTATTATCAATTTACTTATCAGCTATCCTTTCTTAACAATTCTTACAGCATGCAACATTTAGGGCCTAACATTTCGTACTTAGTTTCTATGAAGCTTTGTAGGGATCATTTATCTCCCACAGAGATGCCTCATGGATAGCTATTTGCAACTAATTATGCTGATTCTGCCATAAGAAACTGTTCTTTTTTTTTTTTAACAAAAAGATGATCTAACCAGCTACTCTCCTAACCAATAAAATCAAATATAACTACTCTAAATGCAAAACAAATAAAGATGCAGAGCCATCATGACTTGAATCAGACCATAGCACCAATTCTAAATCTGCTATTATATTTCTCTGAGGCCAAATATGACAGCTTGCCAAAAAGAAAATTTTCTAGGATATGAGATCTTATTTTTAAGTCAGTCAGGGAAATGAAGGAATCTGATTGAAAGAAATAGTGAGCTTTCTAAAATGGATTACTAATACTGAAGACACTGAAATGCATAGTCATCCTTACCATTTCAAGATGAGTAAAATAGAAAAAAGCAGAGGCAGATGAGTGGGTTCATATAGATCTGGGTTGAGAATGAGAAACAAAAAAATGCAAGAACTGGGCTGGGAAGGTGGCTCAGTGGTAGAGTGCTTGCCTTGCATGCTCAAGGCCCTGGGTTCGATTCCTCAGCACCACATAGACAGAAAAAGCCAGAAGTGGCGCTGTGGTTCAAGTGGTAGAGCGCTAGCCTTGAGTTGAAGAGCTGAGGGACAGCGCCCAGGTCCAGAGTTCAGGCCCCACGACCAAAAATAAAATAAAATAAAATAAAAAATGCAAGAACCAAGAAGAGATGGAATTGATCACGTGGCCAATTCCTTTGTGTTGAGAAAGTGAACTCTCACTACACACTTTGAATGTACAGTTAGTTTAGGTAACTTGTTCTGCTGGATCTTTGACCATTAAAAAATGTACAAGCAGGCTGGGGATGTGGCTCAGTGAGAGAACACTTGTCTGGAATGTGCGAGGCCCTGGGTTCAATCCTTTATATGGCAAAATAATGGCTTTTACATAGCTAGGATAATAGGTTCTTATCACCATGCCTGTTTGAGATGGGGTCTTGTGAACTGTCCTTGAGCCATAATCTTCCTATAGTATCTGCTTTCCAAGCAGTTAGAAATACAGATATGAGCCCCCATGCCTGGTATCTATCTGTCTGGTGCTGGGGATCAAGTCTAGGGCTTCAAATATACTAAACTAATGCTCTACTACTGAGCTGCATATAGCTCTAACCCCTGGATTAGGCTTTTTAGAGTTTGTAAAAACCTTATTTCATAAAACTGTGTATGATTTCCACATAATCTTTACTTTTGATTGTCACTGACTTGAATTTGATACTTTTTTCTGACTGTGCCCTAGAAGGAGTAATATTTTCCACTCTACTAGTTTGGAGTGAGTTTATTGACCAAGCTGGGCTACTTTAGGTCCATGTAGAGCCCTGAGTCAGAATGAGAGCAACCAGGAAAGCTTATCCATCCCAATTAAAGGACAGCCTGAGAGCTTCGGCTTTACCTTTGCTGATCCTGTTGATTGTCTCCCTGTGGATTATAGACAAACCTCCCTTAACAAACACATTGAGTGGCTTTGGTTTCCAAAACTCTAAGACCAGTAATTAATCTAACTGGTAATGAGGACACAGTGGTGACTTCTGGAAAGGAATTAATTAACTCTTTTTATGCTGGGCAACTAATTTTCCCGCTATAACAGTTTTGAGGTCAAGCATGCTGAATAAGTGTGATCCTCCTACTCATAGTCTCCTATAAAGTTGGAGCCACAGTATATGTTACCTCTCCTGGCTTACTGACTAAGATGAGGGCTTGCCAATTTTTTTCTTGAACTGGCCTCCAACCATTATTCTCATTTCCACCTCTCAAGTAAATGGGATTTCTTTTCTTCTTTTTATTGGAGACAGGGTTTCCCTGTATGTAATACAGGCTGGTTTTAACTCCCAAGCTTTTTATACCTTATAGGTAAACAGGAATGTGGCAGAGAAAATAAATGCAGTCATTTGCAGAATAAGGTATTATTTTAATTAAAAATTATGAACTTGTGGGGCTGGGAAGATGGCTTAGTAGTAGAAT